AAGCTCGGAGATATGCTGGGAATCAGCAAGAAAAACATGGTCCAATGGTTGTCGGTGAATCGTTGGTTATCACAATGACTGGGAGCATTCAACAGACAGGATACATACATTGTGAGCCCCCCCAGTTATAAGTTGGTTTATAAACCCCATGAATACTATAGTTATAGGTATCATAAACCATAGAGTGAAATGGGAGTTATAAAGCAATTTAGCTATCGTAAACGGGGGGGCCACATTGTAGGAATGCATAGGAGATATCGAAATGAGCCCGCAAAGTATCTGAACGTTCATGTTTTTCTTGGCAAAATCAATGGATGTGGGTGCCCTAGACTTTGACCAAGAAGAATATGTTCTCGCATGTAGTGAATTCCTATAGTTCTATATAGTTCTTATTTATTATGATGACTTGAACATGATCTTTAATATGTACATATATGTACCCATTCTTCACACATAGATAATTACACATGTCCTCCCTCTCTCTGTGGGGCTATGATCCTGAAAGAGAGCATTTGGGAGACGTATTTGAATCGATGTATGATGTAAGTATACATACGTATGTAGAAGCTATTCTAATCTGATAATATCTGAATATATATATATATATATTTATATTTATATATATTTATATATATACATATATATATATATTATATATATATGTGTGTGTCTAGATAATACATTCAAGAAACCCATCTAGCTTGAATCATTAAAGCATCTGGAATCCATTTGTGTCTCTTTGGTCCCACCTCCACGTTTGAAGAGGCTCTCTTGCGCTTCGAGAAGCAGTCTGAGGTGGCCTAACAATGCGTGCATGAGCATGTGCCTTTATGAATATATCCAAATGATATGACACTGACTTAGGTTTAGATTATAAATGAATATCGATAATTTTTGAGTATACTGTAAATGTAAATGCATGTTTGTGCATTGTATAAATGTACATATATCACCATATATGCCTAGATCCCCGGGCTATAGTGATGAAATTGGACTTACTGTGACAAACGCTGCTTTGACCTGCCCTGATCAGGCGGATAACAGACTCTATGAATCATGGTGTGTGTGTGTGTATGAACCGTTGCATCGTTGGTTCATTCAACGGAGGAATATATGGTGTCATATATGGAGGAATACATGTGTATATATATATATTATGAATAATTATATCATATCACATCCACTTCAACAGCAACTTTCTCTTTCAGGGCCCAGGGCTGTGTGACTTTGGCATTTCCGATATGACCTGGCATTTACAGACCTGAAAGAATTCAGGATGCGATGGCAGAAAGATTCCACGTCACGTGGTTCTGCCGAAGTTTGCGGGCCTGGTCCACGAGGAAAACATACCGAGGGGTCGACGATCCCAGTGGATGAATTCGAAGCTGGGTACCCACCAAAACAAAATCTATAAAATAGAGGTACCCGGGGTCCCATAGGAATCCACAGGCCGGGGTATATGACTACATGACTTTCTACAAAGCCGTAGTGTTTAACCGTGTGTGAAACCCATGGTACGGTACGTACGGATCGAGTTTCCGGTGACTCGAATCTCGAAGGTTTCATACGAGAGGTACCCGGCCTGGTGATGTTAAAATAGCTATTGAAAATGACCCAGTCGAAAGTTCGTGGATTTTCCCAGCTGTAAAATGGTGGATCTTTCCAGTTCGTATTATGTAAACGTTTACCAGGCCGGGTACTATTAAACATATTTAAAAATGAAAAACACATGCGGTGTTCATTTGTTGTTCATCTTGTCAGCGCTTGTTTATGAGGAAATTTGCGAGATGACCCTGATAGGTAAAGAAATTGGTAGAGTTTGTGGCAGCGTTATTCCTCTGTTTGGTTGATCGACGCTTCTGTTGATACATACACCCTGAATCCAATAACCAGTAAGTTGAAAGGTTTGAAGGATGAGATGGACCAAGACCTGGACCAGTGCAGCCAAAACGTAGACCAGTTCCCTCAGTTCCCTCCCCTAGAATATGTCCAAACTGCATATTTTCTTCAATCGAATTCTGTCAAAATCAGGGACAGCCCGTTGGCCAACAGCAAAAAGGCAATGGCCCACAGGGACCGGACTCGGGCTGTTTCTCGAATGGACCAGAGAACATTGACATTCTGAAACAGTTTGCCGGTTTGAAGTCAGCCCCGGCGACTGCCTCCGTCATGACATTGTCGCAGGTGTCCTGAGGGTGTCATGGATCCACTACACTGGATGTGCTATTAGATCTATTGCGGGATTGACGAGGTAAAACCAATTTAAACGGAAAAAATAACGCTCCATTTCTGTTGAAGAGTGCTGAAGTAAATCTGTCAGACATGTGGATGAATCAAGCACAATCTGGCCAGGATGAAGCTCCGATAGGCAACCAATCACCAAACCGCTAGCTGGGCTGGATTTGTTTAGAGCCGTTGTGGGATGAGTGGTGAAGGGATCATTGATATAGGTAGAATATGACAGAATAGATGTTGGTTTGTGTTGATCCATGGCCAGTTGTCGTTGGATGTTCTCATGTTCCAAAAATATCAACACATTAATAGACAGACACGCACACCAAAAAACACACACACAATGCTTTTTTTATTTATCATACACCTTTATTGTATCATATTGTACGTTGACAGATATATTCTTCCCAGCAATTTTGATGAAACATCCACGTTTCTCCCCTGAATGGAGCATCCAAAACAAGCACTGAAAAACTGAGCCGTTTTGGACACCCTGCTCGGCACACCCGGGGCGCACGGGGCAGTTTCGGCGTTTTCATGGGGCGTTTAGATGAGACACAGGAGGAGGGACTATCGATGACTATAATGTTTAAGCATGGCAAGCGATGTTTTTGATTTTCGGACACCGAAGATGGACTTTTTTCTAAATCATCAACTATGGGAACCATGAAAATCATGAAATATCCTCCATGTCCTCAGTATCCTCCATGGGTCGATAGTTTTAACCATGACATATCCTGGGATTTGGGATCGGTGGCGGTACCCCATGGCGGCTGTCCGAAGATCTGACCGTGCAACGAAGGTCACCGAAGGTCACCGAAGGTGCCGCGGTCACCGCGTCTAGAAGCCATGGGGGTTGGTACTGGGCCACTGGGCTCATCCTTGTTACAAGGTGCCCCAGTTAGCTTACTTGGTTGAGTTATCACCTTGTAGCTGGTTACACTGGGTTTTCATGGGTTTTCTGAATCCTCGATGGACATCTCAAAGCGGTGTATAATCCCACAAAGACGAATCATGCTACCATGTAGCTTCTTCATCCTCCAACTAAAATGGAAGTTCCTTGGATAGATTCCGCCAGAACCCGAAACAATTAGGATAGAACCGACCAGAATGGGCTTTAACCAGTGGTTATCAAAAACCAGGTTCCCAAACTCGTCACATATACTGTAAATGGGTTGTAAATCCCACATTTTTGGAGAGACCCATGTGGTTGTAAGCAATCTTTAATGTTGAAAAACAACGTTTCCAACATGACACCCCCAAAAAAAGATAGAACAGTAAAGTCATGTAAAGTCCTATTGGAATCTATCTTTTCCCTGAAACCAACCCAATGACTATCGCAGCTTCCATGGCCACTCCCATGGCTGGCTGTTGATCAAAACATAGGCGTCTGGCCTTGCAGAAAAAAGGGGAAACAAGGATGGGAAGGCGGACATGTAGCGCTTCAGATGGGTTTAACATGTTTTTTCGTATCAAACATGGGCTTTAACATGGGTTAAGCATGATGACCTGGGGATATGTTGGCCCATTTTAGATTTTAGATACATCCACTCGCTCCGAGACGTTGCACCAGAAGTAACCAGGCAAATTCTACTGTTGAAAAGGTATGTATCATACATGAATGGATGAAGAAAAAGTAATGACAACATGGGGAGGGACCGGATGCCACTGATGATATTTGGATCATTGAGTGGGTGACACCGGTCGACCACTGGATGGGAATTTCAAGGCGACGTTTTGTCAGAAATCATGGCCTCCAATCTGGTTTGGAATTTGCCAAACACATTCTCCAGATATTTCAGGCAGATATGTCTGATTATTTTCACCAGATGGTACCCTCTGGTTATTTAACATAGCCATGGAAATTGGCCAATTTATAGATGATTTTCCCATTAAAACCTCCACGGATTTTCCATGGCTATGTTAAATAACCAGATGGTACCAGCTGGACCAATTCATCTCAGGGTCTCAGGCCCATCAAATTTTTATGAAGTGTAGCCACAGTCACAGAATCACAGAACAATTATGGGACGTAGTCTGGCCTTGTTACGGCCAAAGAAGCTGTACAACTAGCTAGGAGCAGTGCAGATCTCGATGTTGACAATATGACATCGCAAGGAGGTTTCCCATCTCAAAGAAGTCACCAGAATGAAAGTCCAGAAAAACTGACCATCCTCATCCATCCCATATCTCAAACTTCATGAATCTTCATGAATCTTGTAAATAGCCACATTCAGAGTGTTCGAACATATTACCCTCTGGTAAACGTTTACAGTTTGCTATTGAAAGTGGCCATAGAAATAGTGGATTTTCCCAGCTATAACATGGTGGATCTTTCCAGTTCGTTATGTAAACGTTTACCAGGCCGGGTATTTCCCTTTAAAGCTCCTTGACCGATCTTCAAAACGTCCTGGACATCGGCGAATTTCTGTCGCCTGGGGATGTTTCCACAGCAGACCCAGGCCTCCAATCTTTGGGGCATCATTTTGTACCAGGATATCCAGGATATCCCAGTTGGGATATACCAGGATATCATTGGGATATACCAGGAGGATATATAACGTAGGTATATCCCAATTGTATCCCAATGATATCCCTATCATATCCCTACATTGGGCTCGCCCCCCCAGTGATGTGAATGTTGGTTTATAAACCCCATGAATACTAGTTTGTTTTCTAGGTATCATAAACCATAGTGTTTCATGGGAGTTATGTTCAGCAACTGAACGCAATTTCGTAAACCGGGGGCCCAGTCGACAGTCCGACAGGTCCCTCTTCAACCTCCCAGAGACGCAGTCCGGGGCCATGGGACGCTGGGACGCTGGAGATGCCGAAGGGCCCTGGCATGTCAACCGGGAAACATATGGAAACATGATGATTGACCACTGGATTAGGGGGATCCAATATATTCATCAATTTTCAAACGCACCTATATAATTTAGAAATGATGCATCCGATTGTCCGATTGTTAAGGTACCAAGTTACTTTGGTTACTTTTGCCCTAAATCTGCATGGCAGATACCTTAGAACTCCAAAGTTCGAGCCCAGCATGGTCGTTTCCCACACTTCCATTGGAGAGGGAACCACTAAAACAATGGGGAAACTCCCAAGTTGGAAGTTTGGAGATTTAAGGGTTGGCAACCTACAGATCTTGTGGGGCATGTTGGAACGGGTAGTTGGGGCTGTGGGCGGTATGTTGGCAACCTACAGGTCTTATGGGGCAGATTGTAAAGGGTTTGGGGCTGTATGTTGGCAAGCTACAGGGCTTATGGGGCAGGTTGGAAAGGGTTTGGGCTGTATGTTGGCAACCTACAGACGGGCACGAGGTTCTGGAGAATGTGAAGCACAAGTGACCCAGGAAGTTCCATCGGTGCTCTCCAATGAATCCTTGAGTGGACTCAGTCAGTCGCCCTCTGGGCGTATTGAAAAGAATGCTCCTGCATCGCCGCCATTGCCCGTTCGTTTGTTGAAAGAAGGATCAGTGCGAGATGAAAGTGTGTCGCCAGAGCAGCCAGGGTGCCGTTTCTCAAAAGCGGCAACGAGGAATTACAACAAGCGAGCAAAGAAGAGAGAAGCAAAGGCGGATGGGGTTGCTCTGGCTGTGGAACGAGGCTTTTCACAATTTGTGCCATGACTCGCCTAATTGGTGAGATGGCGGCCGAATTCCGTGCAATTGCACTATCAGTTCGGGCTGAAACACACCCGTTATGGGTCGTGTTGGAGCAGGTTTGGGGTGGTATGTTGGCAACATACAGGTCTTACGGGGCATGTTGGAGCAGGTTTGGGGCTGTATGTTGGCAACCTGCAGGTCTGATGGGGCGTGCTGGAGCAGGTTTGGGGCTGTATGTTGGCAACCTGCAGGTCTGATGGGCATGTTGGAGCGGGGGTGGGGGCTGTATGTTGGCAACCTACAGGAAATATATCAATATTTATCAAGAAGACTACTCGGGAGATCTAGATATCAAGAAATACCAGTAGTACCGCACAAGGCGGCAGTGTAAGTGTCAAAAATAGGAAACCTGTAGGAGAGGTTGGTTGTTGTGAATCACGGATGGCAGAGCGAATCCATTGATGGACCGAAAGGTGGTTGAAGTTGTGTTTTTTGGCTTGGTTGCAATGGTTGCAGTGGTTGCCTCACCCACAACTGCTGGATGTAGCGTGGTGTAGTGTAGTTGTAGTTGTAGTGTGGTGTAGTCTAGTGGAGTTGTAGTTGTAATGTGTAATAAGTGTAATGTAGTTGCAGTTGCAGCTGTTGTTGTTGTTGTAGTTGTGGTGTGGTGTAATCAGTGCAGTGTATTGTAGTGTACTGTAGTGTTGTGTACTGTAGTGTGGTATAGTGTAGTGTAGTCTAGTGTAGTGGTAGTTGTAGTTGTAGATTGTAGCTGTCTATCTATCTATCTGTCTATCCGCAAAGCTTGAAAACGAAGCAATTCTGCGAGACTTCCTCAACTTTTGAACTTGATAACGTTAAAAGAAGCAATTCTGCAAGACTTCCTCAATTTTTGGAGTTGGCAACATCAAAAATGAAGCAATTCTGCGAGACTTCCTCAATTTTTGAAGTTGGCAACATCACGAAGCAATTCTGCGAGAGGTCCTTCAATAATGGAAAGTTGTATGCAGAGCTGACAGCCTCGTACCACAGCATTTTGCAATTTTTCCAGCCCATATCTCTGAAGTATGGCGCCTGCCACGAAAAAGTGATGCCAGGTCACACAAAGTGCTGCACCAAATCATCTTCCCGAAACTGAAAATCTGATGCTCCAAAATGCAGCCCCTCTCAGGAAATCAGCGCCCTGCCACGGAAAATGCATCTTCCCAGATCCTCTCCAAACGCCCCACCCCTGCCATCGTTTTTTTTGAACATGCTAGAAACCCCCACGTTTTGCTCACTTTTGACAAGGTGCACAATCCCTTGCGACGGCCATGCAAAACCACATCTGAACGTCCAAAAGTGCTCCGAACCCGTCAGTTTTTAACACTTTTGACTTGAGAATGTGCTTCGCGGCACAACGACGTGCACTTTTTCGACATCTCAATTTCCAAAGTGCTCCGAGCATGGTGTGTCTTGTACATTTTGACTTGGAAATGTGCTTCGCGCCACAACGGCGTGCACTTTTTCGACATCACAACTTTCAAAAGTGGTCCGAGCATGGTGTGTTTTGTACATTTTGACTTGGAAATGTGCTTCGCGCCACAGCGGTGTGCAATTTTTCTTCTCTCATCTGGCCACATGGCTCCGCACCCGCCGCTTTAGCGAGCCAACTTTTCGACCCTCTGGAGCCACAAATCATTGGAAAAAAACAGAGTGTCTCGTGACTTTGCTACCTTTTCGCGCGCCTGCATCTTCTTTCTTCTCGCTCTTTCTGTGCTCTTTTCTTTTCTGCTTTTCTCTTCTCTGACTCTTCGCACCTCTGCTTTCCATCTGGCCATACTGTCGGAAGTTTGACTTCTAAACTTCCTTCGGCTATGATATTATGTGGATTTATCTAGATTTATTAGTACTTCTCATGTGAGTTTCTTGTTAGAACATAAACCCTACATCATCTGCCAACAAAAAACACCGCCGTTCTGCTTCGAATTTCGCCCAGGTCACGGATCATGCCAGGCTTTTCGGGGTGGACGGTATTTGGAAATTGTGGCCCAACATGACCCAACGATCCAATCGAGGACCTGGGCAATGTTTTTTTTTTTATGGGATCGTTGTATTGAATGAGAGTCAGCACTATCTACTCTATAGTCAGTACTGATAGTCATTGTTATTTCACAAACCTGTATCTCACAAGTCTTGATCTTGCAGACTTCGATCATATCCACTTTTTGTTTGATTAGCTGGGAATAGTATCCTCTACCAAAACTAATGATATCTAAATCCACGACTGGAACCCTCCCCATATAAGTTTTCCCTCCACAGCAGTTGTCGGGGAACTATTTTCCAGGAACACAAGAACATAAAATACGTTGTTCAATTTTTGTTGCGACTAATTTTCATGGCAATTATACATGGTGAATGTTTGATGTCCGGAACCCCAAAATCCCCCAGACCCTTGAAATATCACACGATTTTATCATTCATGCATATTCAGAATATATGTATTAGTCAAAAAAATGGGTATATTCATACTTACAAATAACAATTTTAAGGGTGAAAATTATGATAAATCATAGGATTTGGGGGTATTCCACGTTTTCTTGTCAGGTTATATCGGGCACTACGGCAGAATTCATCATGGAACCGACAAGCTCACAGCCATGTCTAAGTTTGGAGAAACATCAACCCCGATCTCAATGTTTGGTGGTTCCAGTACTTTAATCCTCACTTTGGTTGCTTAAACTCTATTGAAACCTCAAATTACTTTACTTCGAGTTTTCCCCACCATGATATTTATACGTTTTGTTACTGGCAAATCTTGTGGCATTCTATCTGACATATCTTCTGGATTTTATCTAGCATATCTTCTGGCATTCTATCTGGCATATCTTCTGGCATTCTACCTGGCATATCTTCTGCAATATGTTCTGGCATATCTTCTGGCACTCTATCTGGCATATCTTCTGGCATATCTTCTGACAACCTATCTGGCATTCTATCTGGCATATCTTCTGGCATTCTATCTGACATATCTTCTGGCATTCTATCTGGCAAATCTTCTGGCATTCTATCTGGCATATCTTCTGGCATTCTATCTGACATATCTTTTGGCATTCTATCTGGCATTCTATCTGGCATATCTTCTGGCAAATATTCTGACATATTTTCTGGCATTCTATCTGGCATTCTATCTGGCATATCTTCTGGCACATGTTCTGGCATATCTTCTGGCATATCTTCTGGCATTCTATCTGGCATATGTTCTGGCATATCTTCTGGCATATCTTCTGGCATTCTATCTGGCGTTCTATCTGGCATATCTTCTGGCATATTATCTGGCAAATCTTCTGGGATTCTAACTGGCATATCTTGTGGCATTCTATCTGACATTTTATCTGACATTCTATTTGGCATACCTTCTGGCATTCTATCTGGCATATCTTCTGGCATATCTTCTGGCATTCTATCTGGCATATCTTCTGTTATTCTAGCTGGCATATCTCATGGCATTTTATCTGGCATATCTTCTGGCATTATATCTGACATTCTATCTGGCATATCTTCTGGCATTCTATCTGGCCGTTGAGGTCCAGCGGTGCACACTGAGCTGGGCAGGTCCCAGGTTGAGGTCCAGCGGTGCACACTGAGCTGAGCAGGTTGCAGGTTGAGGTTCAGCGGTGCAGCCCTCACCTGGCAGGTGGGGAAAAAATGCCAAAAACTATGAAACCAGGATGCTAGTTCGATGATGTTTGTCATGAATTCATACATTTTCCAGGTTTTAAACTTTTGGGCATACTTTTGGGGGGCTGACATAATGCATGGGCATAGGTTATATATCCCAATGACCCTGTCATATCCCACTTGGTCCAAGTCCCTGAACCTGCGAAAAAAACATGCCGAAAAGGTTCCATTGATCACAGAATATCACAGAGGTTTAGTTGATTTTAGTTGGATGTCATCCACTTTTCATTTTTTTTGGGTTACACATGGTCCTTTGTTCAAGCTCCCAGGTTCCCACGAGGTGGCTTGCAATAACAGTCTCGCATTCACCGGTACCATCATCTCAGACAAACGCATTGGTGCACTGGGCAAGTTGAGCTGCTTGAGGGCAGTACTTGAACCGGAACTTCTTAATAGTGGGCGTGTGTACCTCATCGACGACTCGCCAGAAGTGATTGGTGAGTTTGCTGGAAGTTCTTACTCGATTGTGCCAGTGGGGATCAGGTTGAGGAAGGCCAATTATCAGACTGTTCCGGGTGTCCATTACGAGCAGAATCTGTTTGGAGCCTTGGAGCATATCCTGAGATTGGAGCGTCGGTATCAGTGAGTGCTTGATTGCATTGGTGTGAGTTCAGCTGTACCATAAGCCCTCATGAAAAATGTCCACAAAGAATCACCTCTGCAAAGGGTGAATCCATGTGAATCCCCGACAGAAAATTAGTCAAACATAGTCCAAGGAAAATTTCAAGGATATGATTGCTGAATATTCAGTTAATATTCAGTTAATTATCTTATCCCTAGGGATATTCAGTTCAAGGGATCAGGATATCCCTATGGATATTCATATTGTCTTATCCCTAGGAATCCCTATGAAACCCACTGGGGAAACCCCGAAACCGGGGCAGGTCTTCAATCCTTCGGTACCGCGCGTGCTGTTTGCGCCTTGCTGTGCGCCATGGCGAAGCGCATCAGCCAGGTGGCGAATGTGGATTTCGTAGATTCATCAGAAAAATCGAGGAATTCTGCGGGAAAATAGCAGATTTTAGAGGATTTATATGGATTTATGGGATTCTATGGGACATATATAAGTTCATATAAGATTTATATGGAATTACATTGGATAATTGTGTGAAAATAGTTGTTTGACAGTGATGTCACCGCTTGATACCACAAGGGGGATGTTCCCTAGTTGTAAGTTGGTTTACCCCATGAAGTACAGATATATCTACCATAAACTGCCATCCGTTAAGCCAGGGTATAAGCTAAGTTTGTTAGCTGGGGCACCACCTTTCAAACATGGCCCGCTAGGAAATCTTCTATCAATGGACATTTTCTCATGGGGGATTCTCCATTGCGATGTGTGTGTTTCCGGGCGGAAAAAATGGTGAATCACATTTATTTGTTTTTTGTCTCAATGTATTTCTGAACAACTCGTTGAACCCAGTAATGAATAATGTATAGTATATACTTTGCTGATCTTTGCTGTGGTGGAATTTGTGGAATAAATGTATCCACTTGAAGAACAAACATATGTAAAATATGCGTTGAAAGCCAACTGTGGTCATGAAAACCTGTCAACTATGATTGGTTCTGCATGTGTTGACCTTGTTGACCTTGAACTGTCATCTTTTGGGGTGATTCAACATGTTGAGATTAATGGGCAAGCCCTGTTCAGGGCCTGTTTTCACAAAGATATCTTCTGGATGAGTGGAATGGTATTTTCTGTCCTGATGATGCAATCCTTTGGTCGTTGCAATATCATATGTTTTTTGTTTCATGGTATAGAAATGCGATAATTATATAACCCATGAATAATGTCAATTGTTTCAAGGATGGTGTTCTATGCGATGTACACTAGCCTTGTCATTCGAAAGATTGGTGTGGCTGGAGGAGCTTTGCTGGGCCACCTGCAAAATGGAGCTCCAAAAGGCACAGAGTCAGAGGATGTCAGATGTCAGAGGAGAGTGGCAGGCAAGTGGTAGATGATTGCTGAACATATCAGAGGGTAGCTCAATGGGAATTTCAGGATCCTAAATTAGAGGTACCTACCATATATAAGGCCTATATAAGGCCTATGTAAGGGAATATACCCACAAAATATGGCCTTATATGGTACAGTACCTCCATTTTAGGATCCTGGAATGACCATTGACTAGCTATCTTGCTCCTCCTGACCATGCCCAAGAAGAAGGACAAGGCGACGCAGCGGCGACCTCAGCGACCTGCCCACAGTTTCACCGGTCATTGCTGGGAAACAGACGACCCTCTGGTAATTTCTTACAGTTTGCGACATAGAACATGTACCATTTAGTTTGTTGATTTACCTATTCAAAATGGTGATTTTCAATAGCAAACTGTAAACGTTTACCAGAGGGTATCTATTATTAACCACCGAATTTCTGGATTTTCCTATGTATGTCAGACCAACCCAGCTATATTGAATCCTCAAAAATTGTTTTTGCAGGGTTTGACTACAGATATCCCCACTGCAAAGCCATTCTTTTCCCTGATTATTTCAACTCGCCTTGCTAAATATGCCAAAGTTGCAGTGGTTAAGTATCAACTACATGACATATCCAACAAAATTCCATACTTATAGTATCTTATAGTTAAATTTCAATAAGTTTCAACCATGACACTGGTAAATCTCCACCTTTTGGGCATCCTGGTTTCACTTCCGAGAGACCGGGGGTTGCCGGGCGGCGAGGATGCCTTGAGAAGCCGCCGTGGCGACAGCGACCGGATCCAGGTGAAAAATGGGTTTCCAACATTTTTTAATGTATATGTATGTACAAGATGGTTATTGCACCAGCAACCAGCCACTGGTTGGTGATGTGTATATATCTTTCAATGTTCAACTGGGTTATGGATGATTCAATGTATATCATTGGTGTCCCATATGTATGTTACGGCCATTGATTGCAGCACTTTTAGATCACGTCTAAAAATAGTTCACATCACCAAATGTGGCCTCCAATATGTGTACTCATTGTCATTCATATTCCACTGAAAAAAGTGGGTGGAAGATGGCCGTACTGGACCATTTGGGTCAGGATAGGCTCAGAAGATGGATGTGTTAGACATGTTGACTTGATTGGCGCTCTCAACTTGTTCCACTTATAGTGAATTGGATAGTGATTGTGCATACTTTGGGCATCTTTGGGCTGTTTCAATCCATTTCATGGTGGTTTGTGTCAGCACGCAGTTCCCCAGTAGGTGTTTGGGGGAGGGCATGCTGCAATGCTAAAAATTGTTGTTTTCAACACGACCTCTGTCCAAGCGACAGTCATTTCTCTGCGTTGTAAAAGCCCGTTCTTAAGATCAGATCAGCAGCCAGTGGTTTCCAAGAAGCGACCTTGACAAAGATTGTGGGAATCATCCCAAGAATCAGTGCATTATGGTATAATAATAGTGGTATATATATATATATGTACATATAATAGTGGTATAATATGGTATATAATAATGTTTTTTTGTTTTTCCCGTGCAGATCAGTGCAAATCATCGTGATGGTCATGTGCCTATGCCTTTTGGAACAACCAATCCAACTTGAACGATTCTCCAAATTGGACTGGCAGAGTTTTGCCAGGATTTTCGCATGTATTTTGGTATGACTTTCCGATCCAAGTTTCATATATCATATGTCCAATATACCTCCAATCTACATCCAATCATCATACAATGTGAGGCCCCCAAGATAGCTAAGTTAGTTTATGGCTCCCATTTCACTATGGTTTATGGTACTTATAACTATAGTTACTGGGGCCTAAAAACCAACAAACATCACTGGGGGGGCGAGCCCAATGTATGTTTGACCCAAATCATCAAGGCGCTGGCCGTTTTGGACACCAGGACCTGGCCGAAGAGTTGAAACCCTTGCTGTCGCTGGAGGTGCCGGATATGCTGAGACGAAGAGTTGCCTTACCTGAAACTCAAAACTCATAGATTTCAAAGCTCTGATATGATACCATATTATTATACCATATTTTATTATTATACCACATTACTATACCATATTATTCTACCATATTATTACACCATTATCATTATACCATATCATATGTATACTGTATACATATATATATATATACATGTACCACTATTTAAGATTATTCAAGTACTGAACTGTGATACTATACACCAATTACATCCAATCTTGTTACCACTCTGACTATTACCACTTGTTAAATAACATTTTAAGATTATTTATTGTAAGTACTTAACACTGCGATGCTGTACACCAATTACATCTAATTACCACTTTTATACTATTATATAATTGTTTTAATACTAAACATCACTCTATAATGAAAATCCAGATTTTGATATTAGTTTCTTCAAACATTCTCCAGACGAAACCGTGGCTTAGAATGGCGCATCTCTTTATTCTCAACGGTCATTTAGGGGTATGTAATTGAATATTGGTTGATGCGATTACTTGGGTGACATGCACCCCGCCCAAATGCGAAATGTTGGATCTTTGAGGGCAACAGTTAGCTGATATCCCAACATGTGTTCTGTCGCAGCTCGAAAGTAGCTGATGATACTATATGTTGCGACAACAGCCCCATCAAGAATGGGTAATGCTTAGCAATGGGTAACTGAGCTCTAGGATGTATCATTCACAGAATTGGATGATGGGAAAATTTACGTGAAACCCCTATGTTTGATGGTAAAAACCATGAATGGTTTCCTGAAGATGTTCCCTTAAACCAATCCATTGTTTGTATCATGGTTACGCCCAAGTCACTATCCATCAGTAGCACTTGCAAGTGACCGCTGGCTCGTGGTTCCTAGCATTTTTCTGTACATCCTGTCAGTCTGCCTGGCTTCCTAGGTTGAAAGGTTAAGACCTCTAAGAACTCATGGTTCACCCTGAAATCAGGAGATGTGAAAACGTGGACAAGTCGGCTCCAAACGCGGGTTGGATGAACCTCAAAACCAACTTGTTTTTGATTCGCTGTTTGGTTCCAAAAACACCCAAGACCCCCTTTGTGGCCGGGTGTTTGAAGCTCCGTTCCAAGTTCAGGCCTTTGACGACTTTGGTTTGGGAGTGCAACTGGTACCTTGGATCGCTGTTGCATCCATCGATGGGATGTGAGCATGATAGGCTGGTGAAACCTTTGATACCGGTCAGTTTCATAACTGGTTGGTGGTTTGGAACATGGCTTTTATGACTTTCCATATTTTGGGAATATCATCATCCCAACTGACGAACTCACTCCATCATTTTTCAGAGGGGTAGGTTGGCCCCCACCAACCAGACCCTACAGAAGTACTCCATTTCTTGGGTAAGCCATGAGGACTTCTATATTCGCCAGGGTTATTTGGGGGTAATCTCTTGCTAAGTGGGATGATCCATGGCCAGTTCCGATGATTTCATGATCAGGGACCCAGGAGACCCAGGGGAAGTTACTAAGTTTGCTCCGCCCCCCAAAAAAATGGGTCGAACTGGGTCATTCCGTTACTTCAAGATACATCTCAGTCATGACATGAAACTGGAAAAATGATGGAAACATGATGGAAAAATGATGGAAAATGATGGAAATCATTGCTTAGCCCATCTGAGATCCGAGTTTTCATCACGATGACTGCGATGCTAACCATGATTTTGATGGGTCTATATAACCCAGTTGATGGGTTTATGAACCAGCGCCCAATCACTGCCACGTGGCATGGCCAACGAACGCTACACACGCTACACTTACAATGATGAAATCCAAGAGTTGGTTGGCTCAGGTACCCATTCTTGTCTCATCTACATATCCACAATCTCCAACGTATGCTTGAAAGAACCCCAAACAAATCAGCGCCGCAAAATGAACGATTCGAATGCAAGACAACAACATGCATACAGGACATACAGCCGTTCACCAGAGTTGATCATTCACGTCTTCAGCAGGTTCATAGAAGCTATTGGTCTCCGCAGGACCGGGAGACCAGTTGAGTTTTGGGACCCACATGGAGGGGATAAATGGCGGATGTATGCAGCGAAAACGTCAGTAAACGAACCATGACGGGAATATGTGATGGGGAATGATAAGGATATGGCAACATAATATGTTATTTTGGAAGATTTTGGATGTGTCTGAAAATAGGGGACAGTCGCCCGCCAAAATTGCAAATGCTACTGGGGAAAATGACGATTCAGTAGTGGATTCAGGGGTAGCCTATTTTGAGTCACACCCGGACCATGTAACTCCTAAAAATAGAGATATACAGATGGATTGAGCAACACACACATTTTTTGGATTTTAGCATGAATGATGGGGATTGAACTGATTGAACCATCAACATTTGTGCATGGCTCAAAGCACAAAAAGCACAAGGGTTTGCCATTTGCGAACCCACATTCTTACCTGATCATGTTTACAAATACAAAATCATCTATGGAATCTATGTTTGGGATCAATGATTTTTGACCCATACCAAAGTTGGTACAGCAGCACGGTGTCTGAAGGTACTTATTCCCAAATTTGAAGGATTTCAATCTTTGGTGTTCGCTGATATAGGCATCCCAAAGCTACATCTCTGCTTGGAGCCTTGACCATGGAATGCATAGCATCTAAAACCTTTTTTTTGGAGAGCCCCAGTAGGGGACTACGATGGTCCCGGAAGGTAGTAATTTGGAATCACTAGGAGTAACTGGGAATATATTTGATCCATTTGTTCGTTTGCCTGATTGTTTTTTCCTAGCACATATGAATCGACTGCAGAATCTATCTAATATGTCTAATCAGTCTAATATGTCTAATCTGTCTAATATGTCCAATCTGTCTAATATGTCTAATCGTTCAAAGTCTATCTATCTATGTACCTGTCTATCTACCCACCTATCTATTTTTCTTTCTTTCAACATATCTATTTGTCTATTCACACGTCCAATCATCATCACCTAGTAGATCCACATGTTTGAATTTAAACATAATACAGTTACGCTTTCAAGGTGATCTCAATCAGTTTTCGAGTCATGAGCAGTAGGATCATCACAGATGAGGTTGCGTCATACCCTCCAGATCAGGTGGTAGTTGAACCACATCCTTTTCGGAAAATGTATATTATACCAGTAGTACCGCACAAGGCGGTGGCGGAAGTTTCAAAAATAGGAAACCTATAGGAGGGGTTGGTGGTTGTGAATCAGGGATGGCAGAGCGAAGCCACTGATGGACCGAAAGGTGCTTGAGGTCACCTCTCTTTCTCTCTCTTTCTCTGACTATGTATCTATGTATCTATGTATCTATGTATCTATGTATCTATGTACCTATCTATCTATCTATCTATCTATCGATCTGTCTATCTATCTATCTATCTCTCTCTCTATCTATCTATCTATGTATCTGTCTGCCTATCTATCTATCTAGCTATCTATCTATCTATCTATCTATCTATCTACCTATGTATCTATCTGTCTATCTATCTATCTAGCTATCTATCTATCTATCTCTCTCTCTCTCTCTTGCTTTCTTTCATCTGTTTATCTGTTTGGCTGTCTATCTGTCTATCTATCCATCTATCTATCTGTCTATCTGTCTACCCGTCTATCTATCTATCTAATCTACCTATCTACCTATCTACCTATCTACCTATCTACCTATCTACCTATCTATCTATCTATCTCTCTCTCTCTATCTATCTATCTATCTATGTATCTGTCTGTCTATCTATCTATCTAGCTATCTATCTATCTATCTATCTATCTCTCTCTCTCTATCTATCTATCTATCTATCTATGTATCTATCTGTCTGTCTGTCTATCTATCTATGTATCTATTTATCTATCTATCCATCTATCTATCTATCTATCTATCTATCTCTCCATCTATCTCTCCATCTATCGATCTATTGTAGTTGTAGTGGTAGTTGTAGTAGTTGTTGTTGTTGTTGCTGTTGTTGTTGTTGTAGCTGTAGTTGTTTTAGTTGTAGTTCTAGTTGTAGTTGTTGTGTAGTTGTAGTTGTAGTTGTAGTTGTAGCGGTAGTTGTTGTTGTAGTAGTAGTAGTAGTAGTAGTAGTTGTTGTTGTTGTTGCTGTTGTCGTCGAAGTTAGGGTAGTTAAGCTAGTGAAGTTCCTTAAGTTAGTCAAGTTAGTTAAGTTAATCAGTGTCTACTTTTTCGACATCAGCACGTCAAAAAAGGCGCAAAACCCTCAGTTTTTTACACTGTTGACTTCCAAATGTGCTTCGCGCCACAGCGGCGTGCACTTTTTCGACACTTTTTCGACATCTGAACCTCCAAAAGTGGTCCGAGACTGTCAGTTTTTAACACTTTTGACTTGGAAATGTGCTTCGCGCCACAACGGCGTGCACTTTTTCGACATCGCAACCTCCAAAAGTGGTCCGAACCCCTGGTGTTTTGTACATTTTGACTTGGAAATGTGCTTCGCGCCACAACGGCGTGCACTTTTTCGACATCACAACTTCCAAAAGTGGTCCGGAGCTGCGGTGTTTTGTGCATTTTGACTTGGAAATGTGCTTCGCGCCACAACGGCGTGCACTTTTTCGACATCATAACTTCCAAAAGTGGTCCGAGGCTGAGGTGTTTTGTACATTTTGACTTGGAAATGTGCTTCGCGCCACAACGGCGTGCAATTTTTCATCGTTCCTGTGGCCAGCTGGGTCCGCACCCGCTGCTTTAGCGAGCCTACTTTCGACCCTCCGGAGCCACACATCATTGGAAAAACACAGTGTTTCGCGACTTTCCTACCTTTTCGCGCATCTGTATCTTCTGTCCTCTTACTCTTTCTCTTCTGATCTTCTCTCTTCTAATCTTCCTCTTCTCTCTGCCTCTGCCCTGCTCTGCTTTTCAGCTGTCCATATTGTCGGAAGTTTGACTTCTAAACTTCCTTCGATGAAGAAGTGTCTTGGTAAAGTCAAAATAGCAGTTCGTTCTTTTTTTCGTTTCTTTTCTATAGAATATCATCATGTGGGTTGAGTTATCCCCATTTTTTGGGCTTGCAGAACCACGTTTAGTTGGACAGATCAGTTTCTTTAATGTCTCTTAGTTGGCAACATATGCATTGATTCATATAAGTTACAATATCACCACCAAAACTCAATACAATCGATTTTACACCAAACTATTTCAATACGCCTTAACTTAACATCCCCATAATTAACATTATCCACTCACCATTTCAACAGGGTTCTATCACAACCTAGACCTATGTTTGATGGTATCGTTTTCTACAAACCCTCGATTGTTGATAGTTTATGAATGACGGAATTTCATTGATTTTCATGATTACCCCTCATTTTTCATGGTAACATCATGTAACATATATCCTTGATGGTTTTCAGATATTAGTTGAACTGGTAAAATCTATGATTTTAGATGCTTAACTCCACCTCAAAAAAAACAAAAAACCCAAGTTATCCTCACCTCATCACCGGAGGGGCGCCAGGACTCGGACGGCCAAGTGCATACACCAGGCGGCACACTGCAGTCGCTGGATAGTTTCCTGCAGGAGACGCAGGCGGCTTTTCGGTCGGGGGATCGGGGAGCCAGTGACTGCGGTGGTGTTTGATATGATGTTTGATGGGGTTGGATGTGGTTGAAATATAACTAAATGTCCTCTTAAGTATTGTTAAGTGTGTTAAGTATGATTAACATTTTGGATTTTCGGGATGATTCGAGGTTTGATGTTGGTTTAGTCAACATGAATGTGGATGTATATGATGTATATAGTAGGCCTATGGCGACCACGGCGATTGTGCATTGTTTGTCATGGTTGGGTGACTGGAAACCAGAAAAGTCACGGAAAACTGTCACAAACATGAATGGATCATAAGTTGCGAAAAGTGAGCAGTACTTGACAGTTCTTTAAGGTGTTAAATCCAATACATGAAAACATGGAGTTGATCATATATACGTATATATATATATACGTATATATATATATATATATCATATAAGGACATGACATGCTGAAAATGGAGCTGACATTTGGGAATACATGGACCATCAACTTTCCAATAGTAGCGGATCCATAGGGAATCAGTTACCAAACCATGAAGGAAGCCATGGCAATTCACAAACTCATATAATCTCATAAACCATCTGAATGTAAGCTGCCAAACATGGCCGCACAACCTGTCTTGGCATGCTGTTTTCCAGGGTTTGACCTTAGATCAGTGGTCTCATGTTTACAGGTGGCAACATCCTTGGGGATGTGGAGGTTTCCCAAAGCGGAGGGACCCCCAAATCATCCACGTTTATAGGATTGTCCATGACCCATAGGATCCATGGTGCTGCTATATATGGTAACATGGATCCCATCAATATACCCCCTTTATGTTAGCATATATACCCGCACCATGGATCCTATGGGTGATCAACCATCCATTTTGGGATACCCCCCATGGCAGGAAGCCTCCATATTTCTTGAAGCTGCTTAAAAACCATGGTTTTAGTCCAAAATAGTCCAAAAAATCCCACCCATCTGCCAAAATCTGCCAGGTAGCTCCGCCCGAGCCGGCTTGGGGTCATTTGTCGCAAAACGGGTCCTTCGCACTGGTGCTACCTGCAACTCAGCAGGACGGGATGAAAAGGGATGAACGACTTGATGAAGCGACTGGGATGATGAACAGTAGTTTTTCCCATCATATGGATGTGGGTCAAAATGGAAGACCTAGGGGACCACAGATGTTAGTCTAGTTTAGTATTAACCATCCATAATTTTGGGGTACCTAATTTTGACCCATACCCATATATCCACATGAAAATGCATCAAAATGGATGATTTGATGGATGTTTTTGCTGCAAAGATGTGGATACATGATGGGGAAAAACTACTGCCATGAAGAAGCATTGGATTTTGAGGCCCATTTTCAGGCGAAAAAAGTGTGATTTTTAGATCTTCTGGGAGGAAGGCGGATATATCATATCTTGATCATGATATATGTGGTGGGAGGGTCTACCGAAAATGCCACTGGAAACTGAACAAATCGAAGTCCTAGCGGGGTTGAACATGGACCCAGCAGATATTGTGGTGCATGGAGCAGGTATCCCCTGCTAGTAATTGCAGATGACTGTTTGATGTTGAGGGTATCTACGATTAATCATTAGTGGGCCTGGAAAAGATTAATGGGCCTTTGGAGGAAAGTTCAGTGAAGATGGTTCAACAATGTTTTGCCAGTCGTTGATTGAGCTCCGGGAAATTTGGATTGCTGCTCCTGATTGTCATGAACTCATCCCGAGTAGGTGCCGATGAACCCTGACGAACCCTCACTATGGCTGCATGTTTGTTGCATTGAAGCTATTGATGACATAAGGATAAATCAATGACAGTCAATGAGAGTTCGGGTTTGAATCCTGAAACCGTTCTGGACTTTGATATCACCATAATCACACTCTCAGTTTTTTCCCCAAATATCTAGTTTTGGATATCTTGTTCCATAGCGTTCGCATGCCATCACTGTCATGAACCTATCAACGACTCTCGAAATGCCACCAGGGTGATGATGTTGATGTTGTACCTTGTGCAGTGTGTTATCGTTGTTAAACATATAATAATACTTTAATAGCGCAATAATAGAAACATATAATGGTAACAACAATGTCATATAGTATAATAATAGTGAAAGGAAGTGAACTAGTATAATAATAGCAAACGCAGGTAATAATTATAGTACGGTAATATAATAGTAAAACAGTAAAATAGCATAATAGTAAAACAGTACAATAGTACACTAGCATGATTGCAAAATAATCTGTTAACATCAAATGACACGACAGTGTAATAGTGTAAAAGTAAAGAAGTATCAGTATAATGTATAATTGTAAAATTGGACTGTATAGTAGTATAATAGTACAAATAATAGTAAAACGGTTTGATATATATATATATATGTATACGCACAGAACAGAACCGGACGTTTGCCCGGAGCATGTTTGTTTTTTTCTCATATGATGTTATGATAAGAATGATCATATGATCATATGGTAATATGATAACATGATAATATGATAATATGATAGATATACAATCTCTTGCACCCTCAGAACACCAACAACGGTCAATGTTAATAGCCTGAACCATCCACGTGCCGTGACCATGGTTTGCCATCAAGACATCTCAATCATGTCATATATCTTACGTAGACATGGATAAAGGGTTGGTGAAAGGTCCCACTTTTGTGGAAGAACATTACTCACTATGTCTAATATACCTTTCCATTGTTTGTGGTTGGTTCAGTCAAGTTCAATCATTCCTTATGGCAACAAGTGGGAGTTAATCCAGAGCCATGATTGTGTTTTTGAAACATGTTCATATATCATTTCATTTTCATTATTTGTGGTGGGTGGTTTAATCATTATTTAATCGCTAGTTTAGACCGACCCAAATTTGATCAACTCTCGCCATGTACCACCAGGAAGGCCCCCTGGCAGTGTCCTTGCTGCTGAATATGTCTGGCCGCAAGCAGAGCGGTCCCAAGGCACTGCGTAGATCTGGTTGGCCTGCAACGAGTGTCGCATTCACCTGAGTTCTTGGCCAATTTGAGATGAGTGAAAGACAAATTTTGAAGGTTTCGCTGTTGAAATTGGGGTTCGAAATCATCTCCCTGAAGGAAAGTGCTGAGTTGTAGCTCTGTCCACCTTTTCTGTTGGTAAAACCGCCAGCTTTGCTGCTTGTTGTTCGTACAATACCAATTTGGTTGGTTACTCTCTGGCATCCCCTAATTATTCCATGGTTTTTCCCAAATTTATCCCACAATTTCGTAGATGTGATTGTTACATCCCACAATTCTCCCATATTTTATCCCCTAATTATCCTACGTGTTTGTCAAATCCCATCATTATCACGCCCAAACATGACATTTCCCTCAGTTCTCCCTCCTCATAGGTGGCCAAAGCTGTGTTGCGCGCCATCTCTTCACGCAGATGACCAGCGTAGACAGTTTGTTTCTTCGAGCTGAAATTGCATCCATAAATCTTAGTAAAACAATAATAAACCAACCATATGAACTGATGGTTTATAGCGCCAAAATGATGACTTGGGAATGGTTCATGATATTTTTTGCCAACATTGCAGGGGTCAAACAGCAAAACTTGAGATTTTACTAGCAACAGTGGGGGTCTAACCAACATAAGCAACAAGACATGCGTTTGAAGCAGGAAAAACAATAGTGATTTAAATGAATTAATCATACATGGGGATTCCCTTAACATTCTGGGTGAAATTATAAAGACCTCACAGTAGTTTTACAACGTAAACGAAGGTTCAGCCGGGTTTGTCCCGAACTTGGGATGTGGTTTCCATGGTGGACAAGATGATATGAGGATAAAAGCCATGTTTTCTTCATGTTTGTTTGTTTTTTTATGTGTAAATATGTTATTTTTGGATATTTTTGGATATGTTGGGACAAACCTATATTGGACATCGAACCCGAATACTTGGTCCTTTGACGACCATAAAGATGGTTGTCTTAGGGCTGCGTTGAAACTAGCTGAAACCCTGGTGCGGGATGTGGATGTGTCGCAACCTTGACTATGTAAGCAATTCATATAGAAACCACAGAATTTTGATTCGTTTGGTGGTTTTGAATGTTTGGACACATCCACATATTTGGGATGTTGTTCCCTCAACGTTTACAGAAGCGCTGCTGCATGCTTCAGCATTTTCCGAAGCAGCAGTGTGGAGGCAGAAAGGGCTTAGCGCTGCAACTAGCCTGGGTGCACTTTGCTGTTACCAGATGGAATTGGCCACCCTAGATGACCTTTTGGTACTGAGCTGATTGATATTGACACAGATTGACGACATCTAAGTGGGAAAACGGTGCAACAGCTTGATATTTCCCGAAAGGACATTTGGTTGGGATTTTTTGTTCAAACTTCCAACAGCCCTGACGTTTGTGCAATCATGTTTGCTCACTGGACCAAATAGTACCCTCTGGTAAATGTTTACAACGAATTGGAAAATCACCATGTTATAGCTGGGTAAATCAACTATAAATGGCCATGTTCAATAGCAAACTGTTATATAGTCATTACCAGAGGGTAAATGTATGTTGCATTACTTTGCCCATATCTGAATGTTCACCATCTGACGTCCCCAATGTCAGTAGAAACTGCAGGCATGTTCTGGGTGAGTTTGTGCTGGTATTCCAAGATGTCAGTCCAGTATTCTGAGATTCTGTGGACGGAGACATGCCCATAGTATTTGATGATCGGATGCAGACAAGGTCATGCACCACCCAAGCTATTCAATGCTGCAAAGCGTTGCCCAACCATGTCGCTGCGGGACGTTTGCTCCCACTTGGTACCCTAAGAGTCTATTGGTTATTTCCCTCATAAAGAACCATATATTAAATACATTTAAATACAATATATACTTATACTTATCAAAAATTAACAACTAACACAAATAGGGGGATTCTGGGATTCTTGGTCTGACCCATTTCCCATGACTGTGCAGAAATCCTGTCATTTGGCATCAATTTTCACAGCTGATTTACGCACGCAGGTTTGGACCAAAGGATTGAACTTCGAATGGTTCGGGAACCAAATTTGAAAGTGGCAGGGCCATGTCCATTCCAGGGGCTGCCATTTTGAAAGGCTTTTGGTGCCATGAAAGCTGCCAGAAGGAACCACTATTCGATGGGCCGGGTCAACTACGGTTAGCTGGTCACAAGCTTGTTATATGTTACGACGCCTTCCCATGTGTTTTTGTTGGAAGAAAATATGGGATACAAGGCTGGAGGTTTCATGTGGTTCGGCCACCTTTTTTTCTTTTGTGGATACCGGCCGTATGTCACATCACGCCTCAGCAATTGCTGAGGCCTGCCCATTCCTTTGACATGTTCTCCTTGGGCGTTTTATGGTGCCTTGGTGCTGGGAATTTCGCCGTTTGCCACAGAAACTGAGGAATATCATACACGGCTAAAAGAGAATGCCCTGTTTGCATCTGCAGGATGCTCACGACAAGCCATGAAATCCAGCTATCGATTTAGTTTGACGACCTTTCCCCATGTTTTACGTTCTTGAGACTACCATGCCCAATGTCATCTGCGCCATCCCCAAGTCATCACCATCTTTCTAAATTGCCTACATTAGGTCATATCCCAAGTTAATGGCAGTTACGCCTCAATTCTTACTGCTAGATCTTCCTGGCCATGTTTTTGTATTATCTTATGTTATATCATCTTGTATTATACCCTCTGGTTATTTGGAAAGATCCACCCATTTTTAAGTTCGGTAAACCATCTATAAATGGGCCATCTATATATACCATGGCTATGTAACAAATAACCAGAGGGTACTATTTTAGTAGGTAAATCATGGATCTAAATGGGCCATCCCATAGCCATGGTACTTTGGCCTAGCAGATTCCCCCAGTTCCAGGCTGAATCTGCTGCTGGGCCATGATGGCACGAAGGAGGTACAGCCAAGGGGGCTCTGGAGTTTGAGGTTCTCCAAAGATGGGATATACCCGCAACTATGAATGTTGATAAGCAATAAATATTAACATCGATTGTTAATGATATCAAAGTTGGGGTATATCCACAAATGGCATGTGAAAAAAGATTGAACATTATGGATACCAATTGATTGGTCGGTCTAGGGGTGCTTTGTCAGCATATGATTGTTCAAATTGGATGGCAGGATAAAAATTAAAATCTATTTGCCCACTGCAGCCCAATAGTACTGTGGGTTTGAGGCTCCTCTTTGATTCATCAAGGAGTTTAAGTGCTTGTAGTCTACACATGTTTTCTTATTGCAGACATAGAAGCGCCATGTGAGAGGCGGATGTGATGTCCTGGTGACAGGCTGCCATGTTCTTGTGGCGAAGCAGAGTGGCAAAGCCCGGCCAAACACTGAGTAAACGGACTAGATAAGTACTTAGTCCATTTGGCTGATTGTGATTAGTAATTAGTTACCCTCTGGTTATTTAACATAGCCATGGAAAATGGCCCATTTATAGATGGTTTACCTATTACAAATGGTGATTTTCCATGGCTATGTTAGTCGAGTCATAACCAGAGGGTAGTTATTACATGTTATTACTGACCCAAGGTGATGGGATGGGTTTTTGTTTTGTCCCAACCGGGTGACAGCACGAGTTTGGCCACGCGGTACCAGGTGATGCTGCAAGTAGCACGACAAGTTCCCTGGGCGACTTCGGCGAGGCGAGTGGGTACACTTTCCCAATCATCCTAAAAGTGTTCCCAAGGCATCTTAGGTAAGGCTAGAAATTGCAGATTTTGCAGGGTTTTACCATGGTTTTACCTACTGAACATGTAAGATCTAGAAGCCGGGAACATTGAACGAATGCTTTAAGTTGTACAGTAAACCTTGGATGCTGCAGCAAACGCAACATACGCAACATGGAGATAGCTGTGAGACCCCAAATCCTGCAGGATGATCTGGGAATCTCCAGATGTTGAGCCCCTTTTGGAAGTACAATCCGTTTATCCGTTTTAAAAGCCACGAGCATTCGAATCATGAGATGTTGTTTGATGTATTTGAGACATAATGTTGCTGTAAACTTTCGAATCAACACATATACTTCATACCCTCTACAAGGGTCCACAATTGAGAATAGTTTAGAATCCATCCACGCATGTTGTGGGTACAATTTCCTGAGCCAGGTGGAAAGTGATTCCGGAAGAGGTGTGGTGTTCAGATGTGGACAGGTGGTAGCAGATAGTTTCTGAGAAGACTTTCTTCTTTCATGGTGGTATATGGTGGTATTATCAGATGGACACATTTTCCGACAGATGATGTCGGTATCTAATTTGCAAACAAAAAATCATGCTTTGGATAGATGCGTGGCCATCCGCCTGTATCGATATGAAATGAGTTTGCTTTTTGAGTCTGTTGGCCTGTTGGATAACCGTCGTTTCATGGCGGACCTGTTGGATAACCAGTTTGGGTGCGGTTGTCATGCGATAACCTGCGCTTAGATATTGAAAATCGATGTTTCGGTGGATTTTCTTTGAATTCACTGATCAGACTTGGTGTATTGCCTCGGTTTGTTTAACATTGCAGTGGTGCTTCCACATTGCCGCTGGTCGATGCGCTACCTGAGCCGCTGGTCGAAACCCTCATTTTGATTGGTGAAGTTCCTAATTTGTTTTTATGACTTACACCATCTTAGAATCTTACGTCATATTAGATAATTAATCTTAGATCAGCATTAAACCGCCGTTAAATCACCATTAGATCATGAAATCACCATGAAATCACTGCGAATTCGCACTGAATTAGATAATATATTACCATATTTTCCACATTTCTCGCTGGTTCTTCGCCATCCAGGCCGCACAAATATTGGAGAAGCTCCTGCAAGCTTCGCCAAAGCGGCCTGAACCATTGGAGGCAAGGGATATGTCAGTCATAAGAGATGACATAGATGGATGATGGATGAAAATGATGAAACAACACACGCAATATATATATATATACAATACATATGTATAATATATATATATATGTAATACATATGTATATGGTACACACACATATATAATATAATATAATACAATATATATATATATATTATAATATATATATATGTAATATATATATAATATATATATATATAATATATATATAATATATATATATATATAAGTGGGATCAATCTCATCCAAGTTCTCTTCATGGGACAGATCTTAGCCGCTTTGGCGCCAGGCCATCGGGGTCGATGGGGGTCGATTGGGGGTTTTTGTTGATGGGATCCATGGTGCCCACCATATATATAGCAGCACCGTGCCATGGATCCGTCATGGGACATGAAAACCCCAAAACCGTTGGGTTTATGATGGGAAAACCTACCTGAAAACAATTCTATAAACAATTCTGTTTTAAGTGAATAATGAGGAAAAACGGGAAAAAATGTTCGGCCACTTGCGGGAGCGCCATGTTTTCACCCTGTGACTGGGAGTATCTCGCCAGAACTTGCCCGGGTTACAATCGTGGGACCAGCAGAAT